GGTGGCGCGGGCGGGGGCGATGCAGTGGGAGGCTGTGGCAGGCCCCGGGGAAGCAGCCTCCCGTGGGTTCTGGCTGAAACCAGAGCAAGGAGGGTAAGGATTGCTGGGTGCACAACCTTTCCCTGCCCCCAGGGTCCCCTGAACTAGTGGGTCAGCACCCTGCCCTGAGGGCTCCTGGAAAGGAAGAAGGATGAGGCCAGCTTGATATCCACACGGGCAGCGCCTCCTGGCTGCCCCCCACAATGATGGGCAAGAGCAACCAGATTGGGTTTCCACAGCAACCAGGCTTCCCTACAGCAGTGGCCTCCCACCTCCTGCAAAAACAATCGGTGGGTTCTCTGTGCCGTGGGGTCCCCAGGGCACCTGCCCTGCCTTGGGAGTCAGTAAGGGAGCCCAGGGGCCCCCAGGGAAAGGCCAAGGCCACAAGGAAGTGTCGGAAGACGAGCCACCACCGCCAGACTGGCTGGCGACCCCTGAGGCATTTCCAGAGGGTGCCCTGGCCCTGGGCAAACAAACCACGAAGCCCCCTCCTGCCCACACTCTCCTACCCAGAAGTCACAGAATCATACATTATTGCTATTTTCCTTTTTAAGGTTTTTTGTCATAAGGTATGTATGCTCACTGGAGAGAAAAAAAGGAGAGAGGGTCAGCCGATGGCATAGTGGTTATGCCACTGGACTCCCACATGGCCGACCAAGGTTTAAGTCCTAGACCTGCAGGCTTGGAAAATCATGCCAGGAGCGTGTGCATGTGTGCACATGACCCGGGGAGGAGAATGGAGAAGGGATTGCAGTGTGGTCATCCTTCTGGAGGGGGATTTCTCACTTTCCCTCTCACTGTCTCTGTCTCTCTCTCTGGTGAGCACACATGCCCTAAGGCAAAAAGTTCTTTAACAAAAAAAGAGAGATAGGGGAGTAGCCACACCTGGAACCCCTCTCCATTCTCCTCTCAGGATCTCAGGCCCCCGCCCGCGTGCCTGGCATGATTTTCTAGCTACCATGTCCAAGCCTTGAACCGAGGAGTTGGACACGCAGGCCCACCATACCATGCTGGCCCCAGAACCATAGGATTTTAAGTTTAAATCACTTAGAAACCTCACCTAATCCTTCACCTCAACTCCCTTGGAACTGGTCTCAATCCCACACGAACCCCACAAGCCTCAGTCTCAGCACTACCCCTGCCCTGAGATCTGCACCCCAGCCCGTGTGAGCCCCACGCCCACCCACACCTCTCCCTTCTGTTGTCAGCACCCCCAAGCCTCCACACGAAGAAAAAGGTGCAGTGGAGTGGCCAAAGGTCCAGGGGACCGCACGATCTCTGGTCGAGTTCTTTAAGCTAGGCTCGAAGCAGAGTGGGAATAGCGGCCCAGGCGCCTGTGTGACGGAGCGGCGAGGCTGCCCGGGCTCACCTGGAAGGGCACCAGAGCTCCAGGCCACCACAGGCCGCACTTCGAGAGCCCTGTGGGGCAGTCAGAGTGACTCCGGGACCGGGCGCCACACCGCCCGCGCATCTGTGGATCTGCGGGGAGGCAGGTGCTGCGAAGCACCCTACCCACGTGACCTTGGCCGGGTCACCTGACGGAACTGGGCACATTTTCTCATCTATGCTCTCACGTCCCTGCCAGCCCTGACTCTAGCTGGCCTCTCCATTTCTTCTAAAAGGTGTGTCTGTGTTTTTATGAAAATCCCTGCGATTTCTGAAGCCGCCCCAGGCTCCAGGGCAATCTTCAACCCAAAGTGCCTTTAAGGTGAGACTTCTTTCCTACCACGACCCAAACAATGAACCTGGAAGGGTGCTTCCCCACCTGGGACCCAGGGCCCAGGTGCACAGGGGGTTGGGAGGTCCCCACGTCACCTGCAATGCTCAGCTTTCCATGTTCGGGCTGCGGGTTCCTGGACTCCTCAGTAAACCTGGGTCCAGGCTGTTCCTGTAGCTGAGGGCCAGGGCGGGGACCCCCTGGGGCCACTGTGGAGAGAGCGCAGGGCACCTGGCGTCAGCCCGTCACTTGTCAGAACTATTCGCGGTGTTCTGGTGTGGCCTAAGAACAATTAAACTTTCAACTCTTAGATGACGAAACAAGATGCAGGACAGACACATGGCCATTGGGCCACGGAGCCTGAAGGGCTGCCATGCCACGTGAGGACGTCGCGTGCTGGGTATGCTGGGCTCTCCAGAGTCCTCGCAGCTCCAGTACCCTGCCCGGGGTCAGCCAGACGCCGCAGCTGGGGAGGCTCTGATCTGCAGATGCTGACCCGGCGAGACTCCTCCAAGGATGTGGCAATGCCCCGGGCCCACGCCCACGCCACTGGTCAGCGAGGATGAGGTCAAGGCAGGGGCCTACAGTGGCAGAAGTGGGAGGAGCACCCCACGAGGGTCCCAGGCCCACCTCGGGGCTGACAGGCACCTTCCCCCCTGCTGTCTGCTCTCCAGGGCCTCTGAGACCTGCCCCCATCTCTGGTGCCGTCCCTGCTGGGAGCAAACATGCCAGGATGGAGAAGTGAGACAGCCCAGGGCAGTAGGCGGAGTTTCCAGTCTTTTTGTTGGGACTTTAGAAACGTCCTTCCAGGTGGGAAATCTCAGGTTTGGTACTTTCTTTGCTGTTGCCAAGTTTTCAAGCTATGCAGTACTGTTGTCTATATGTACACGCTACACATATGCATGTGACAGGCACACGTGGCATGCACACGTGACATACGTCACGGCCACATCCGCACTCCTCGGCCTCTACTCCTCAAGGGCCCTCCCTCTCAGACACAGCCTCCCCAATGGGGAACTGAAGCGTGACATCAAAGAACCCTTTCTGGCAAGAACCCGAGTGATGGCTGGGACTGAGAGGATACGCCAGAGACCTCGTGGCCGCCCCGCCCGGAGACCCAGGCTCACCTGTGCTGAGGTCGCTGTAGCGCCCAGGCTCCGTTCTCCTGGGGTC